ATGAGGAATTCAATTGGATATTAAATACCAAATAAAAACCATATAACATGATACCAATACATGTCCATTCATTTCTCACAGAAATGATCAGGCAGTCAGGTGGAATATATACAGAAAGCCAACTGAAAAGATGCAGCTAAATCTCCGAGGCCTTCAGGAGAGCCATAGGCTCAATTATTGTGCAAACAGCGTTGGGGAAAACCGATTTAAGCACAGAGGTGCTAAGCATGTCCAAATGGTCCAGTGTGAGCTACTGGTACAAAACGTGTGTTTTGGCAAGGAGTGGTATCACCAGTCATGTATTGGACACGACACCAACAGCCTGCCAGGTGCAATGTTTATTTTTACTCTTGTATTTAATATTATCTTGCATTTCACATTATCTTTCAAGACTTTGGAATTAATTGTTTCAGTTAAAGACCAATCACTGTGGAGGCTAAAAATAGGCCTAGTGCCTAATTCTCCCAGATGTTTCTAATGTCTAAACATGGCAGAGGTCATTCATTAACAGATTTAATAATGTGGACGATAAATTAAAATTGTTATTTCATATTTTTCAGACCTCTAGTACTGCTTGAAGAGGTGCAAACTAGGTAACAAAGGGGATGACCAAGTTCTGGAATATTCCAAGCAGCTAATTCTCAAGGGTCTTAAGCACTTAACAAGACAGGACTTTACCAGGGAAGAAGATGGTCCAGGACTGGTTTCCTGTGACTTTATGTCAGGGAAGAAGATGGTCCAGAACTGGTTTCCTGCGACTTTGAAAGGGAAGAAGATGGTCCAGGACTGGTTTCCTGTAACTTTGCCAGGGAAGAAGATGGTAACAAAGGGGATGACCAAGTTCTGGGATATTCCAAGCACCTAATTCTCAAGGGTCTTTAAGCACTTAACAAGACAGGACTTTACCAGGGAAGAAGATGGTTCAGGACTGGTTTCCTGTGACTTTACCAGGGAAGAAGATGATCCAGGACTGGTTTCCTGCGACTTTGCCAGGGAAGATGGTCCAGGACTGGATTCCTGCGACTTTGCCAGGGAAGAAGATGGTCCAGGACTGGTTTCCTGCGACTTTGCCAGGAAAGAAGATGGTCCAGGACTGGTTTCCTGCGACTTTGCCAGGGAAGAAGATGGTCCAGGACTGGTTTCCTGCGACTTTACCAGGGAAGAAGATGGTCCAGGACTGGTTTCCTGCGACTTTACCAGGGAAGAAGATAGTCCAGGACTGGTTTCCTGCGACTTTGCCAGGAAAGAAGATGGTCCAGGACTGGTTTCCTGCAACTTTACCAAGGAAGAAGATGGTCCAGGACTGGTTTCCTGCGACTTTACCAGGGAAGAAGATGGTCCAGGACTGGTTTCCTGCGACTTTTCCAGGGAAGAAGATGGTCCAGGACTGGTTTCCTGCGACTCTGACGGGGAAGAATATGGTCCAGGACTGGTTTCCTGCGACTCTGCCAGGGAAGAAGATGGTCCAGGACTGGTTTCCTGTGACTTTACCAGGGAAGAAGTTGGTCCAGGACTGGTTTCCTGCGACTCTGCCAGGGAAGAAGAAGGTCCAGGACTGGTTTCCTGCGACTTTACCAGGGAAGAAGATGGTCCAGGACTGGTTTCCTGCGACTCTGCCAGGGAAGAAGATGGTCCAGGACTGGTTTCCTGCGACTTTACCAGGGAAGAAGATGGTCCAGGACTGGTTTCCTGCGACTTTACCAGTGAAGAAGATGGTCCAGGACTGGTTTCCTGCGACTTTGCCAGGGAAGAAGATGGTCCAGGACTGGTTTCTTGCGACTTTACCAGGGAAGAAGATGGTCCAGGACTGGTTTCCTGCGACTCTGCCAGGGAAGAATATGGTCCAGGACTGGTTTCCTGCGACTTTACCAGGGAAGAAGATGGTCCAGGACTGGTTTCCTGCGACTTTACCAGGGAAGAAGATGGTCCGGGACTGGTTTCCTGCGACTTTACCAGGGAAGAAGATGGTCCAGGACTGGTTTCCTGCGACTTTACCAGGGAAGAAGATGGTCCAGGACTGGATTCCTGCGATTTTGCCAGGGAAGAAGATGGTCCAGGACTGGTTTCCTGCGACTTTGCCAGGGAAGAAGATGGTCCAGGACTGGTTTCCTGCGACTTTGCCAGGAAAGAAGATGGTCCAGGACTGGTTTCCTGCGACTTTACCAGGGAAGAAGATGGTCCAGGACTGGTTTCCTGCGACTCTACCAGGGAAGAAGATGGTCCAGGACTGGTTTCCTGCGACTTTACCAGGGAAGAAGATGGTCCAGGACTGGTTTCCTGCGACTTTACCAGGGAAGAAGATGGTCCGGGACTGGTTTCCTGCGACTTTGCCAGGGAAGAAGATGGTCCAGGACTGGTTTCCTGCGACTCTACCAGGGAAGAAGATGGTCCAGGACTGGTTTCCTGCGACTTTACCAGGGAAGAAGATGGTCCAGGACTGGTTTCCTGCGACTCTGCCAGGGAAGAAGATGGTCCAGGACTGGTTTCCTGCGACTCTGCCAGGGAAGAAGATGGTCCGGGACTGGTTTCCTGCGACTTTGCCAGGGAAGAAGATGGTCCAGGACTGGTTTCCTGTGACTTTACCAGGGAAGAAGATGGTCCGAGACTGGTTTCCTGTGACTTTACCAGGGAAGAAGATGGTCCAGGACTGGTTTCCTGCGACTCTACCAGGGAAGAAGATGGTCCGGGACTGGTTTCCTGCGACTTTACCAGGGAAGAAGATGGTGCAGGACTGGTTTCCTGCGACTGTACCAGGGAAGAAGATGGTCCGGGACTGGTTTCCTGCGACTTTGCCAGGGAAGAAGATGGTCCAGGACTGGTTTCCTGTGACTTTACCAGGGAAGAAGATGGTCCAGGACTGGTTTCCTACGACTCTGCCAGGGAAGAAGATGGTCCAGGACTGGTTTCCTGCGACTCTGCCAGGGAAGAAGATGGTCCGGGACTGGTTTCCTGCGACTTTACCAGGGAAGAAGATGGTCCGGGACTGGTTTCCTGCGACTTTACCAGGGAAGAAGATGGTCCAGGACTGGTTTCCTGTGACTTTACCAGGGAAGAAGATGGTCCGGGACTGGTTTCCTGCGAATTTTCCAGGGAAGAAGATGGTCCAGGACTGGTTTTCTTTCGACTTTACCAGGGAAGATGGTCCAGGACTGGTTTCCTGCGACTTTACCAGGGAAGAAGATGGTCCAGGACTGGTTTCCTGTGACTTTACCAGGGAAGAAGTTGGTCCAGGACTGGTTTCCTGCGACTCTGCCAGGGAAGAAGATGGTCCGGGACTGGTTTCCTGCGACTTTACCAGGGAAGAAGATGGTCCAGGACTGGTTTCCTGCGACTTTACCAGGCAAGAACATGGTCAAGGACTGGTCTTCTGCGACTTTACCAGGGAAGAAGATGGTCCGGGACTGGTTTCCTGCAACTTTACCAGGGAGAAGATGGTCCAGGACTGGTTTCCTGTGACTTGAAATTCACCGTTAGGTCTCAACACATGTGCTTCATTTCACTCTACATGTTAGACAGTAACTTAGTTGATAAGTGATTGAAAATGTACATTATACAGGAGTTGTCAACTTTACACTGGGATTGTTTCTTAACAATCCGGCACCCAAAGCAAGATTATTTTTAGCCGGAAAAAACGCATTTTGGAATTGGAAAATTGTAATGGTTATACCCTTTCAATATACAGACATTGCCGGTGCTGCACCCAGCAGACTTCAACACAAGCTTCTCTGGGAAGGAGTGACAAATCTCCAAGGAAAAGCTGGAAAAATATGGCCTTGGACCAGGTTAATGGGCAATTGGTCCAAGATTGCAAAGGTAATATAAGAAAGGATTATTTTTTCACTGGTTCTTTCATCTCTTTCTTTGGTTGTTGGTTTGCTTATCGGCGTGATAAATTGTTTGTGTGTGGAGCGGTCTGTTCATTGTACGAGAGACACCTCTCTTTACCTACATGACAGTATTCAACGTAAAGAACTGTGCATGGCAAATAAGCTAAAGATAATGCTCCCTGTTCCAATGAGGAATTTGATCGGGTATTAAATACCAAATAACAGCCATATAATATTATACAAATATATTTCCATTCATTTCTTGCAGAAATGATAAGGCGGTATTTAAAGCCAACTGATATTAAGACAGAAAGCCAACTGAAATGATGCAGCCAACTCTCTGGGACCTTCGGGAGGGCCATAGGCTCAATTATTGCGGATACAGCGTTGGGGGAAAACCGATTTACGTCGGTGGGGTCCTCACGTGACAGGACCTCTAAATACGTCAATGACGTGTCTGCCTTCTTTCCGAGTACCCACCCAGCAAGTTGTGGGTATATGTGGTGTAGCGCCAATACAAGGGGATCTATCACCTGCACCCAACATGTATTGTTTAGCCCGGAACAACCAGGCAGATACATACAATGTACATGTAACACGTCGCAATAAAGTAAACATCAATGTGGATAATGTACCTAAAAGAGATCGCGAAAAGGAATGCAGCCCAAGACAATTCCTGAAAGGCACAATATGTTACAGGCGTTACCATGTTTTTAGGCAAATAATGCATGATTTAATGGTTGTCACATGTTGACAGCAACAATAGAAATTTTATATAATTGGACAGTGCCAAAAACAATATGGTTAAAATCCCATAAATTACCCGACAACCCATCCCTTTCCTATTAACTCCAACAGATGGTCTCAAAGAATCTAATGATGCAGAAGGAGGGTTCACTTGTAAGTAAGCTAGTAAAGGCCTACTAGTTTGTTTTGTTGCACTGGGAGCAGCACTCTGTACCTCCACATGCAGCTTCAATAAAAATCGATGCCCTCTACCATCAGCGCAACCAGCAAGCCTTTCAGATGCATGGACTCTTCAAACATTCATAGAAGCCTTGATCGACTCTTGATTTGTGGATGCTCAGAAGTGGAGCATACAGAATTGCTTTGCAGTGTCTACCGTCCTGACCGCCACGTCCAATCTCCTGCCAGTAGTTCAGGAACGAAGATGCAGGGCCCCAGTGTATAATGAACTCAACATCAGGGACATCCATACCAAGGACAAACTCAATGGTAGCGATCAGTAGGCGGCAGGGTCCTTTTGGCTACTTGAAGGATGTAGGGATGTCTTGCTCTGACGTCTTTCCTATCCCATGATGGAAGATTTCCACCAAACAGGTTGTGTACACCAATCTGATCGATGACTCTACTAAATACATGGAGCGGCTACTGTTGGGTCCTGCATCGAGTGGAATAAAATAATTGTTAGAAATCAAGCATGAAGTCTCTCGCAGGTTAATTCATCCCCCTCTTCGTTGGTGGGTTATTCTATAAGTTTGGGGTCAAGTGTGACATTTGTTTGTCCCCATTAAGTCTGACACAGTGTAACTTGCCATTTTACACTTTAATAAATAAAACCAGGCATTTGCAATGTACAATGCATTTGAGGGTATTCTCTCGCTCCTTTCTGAGACCGTTGATGTACCAGTCTAGAAGTTAGCTTTCCCTTCAATCCTCCAATCTGTGTATATAGTTTTCTCTACAAACAGTCTTTAATCAGTCGAATTAAGCAAGGATAAATTGTTCCATTTCAAACGTCCAATTATGAATCTCACCTGCTTGGTATGACTGTTATGTGGGTGCAATGCTGCAGGTCCATCCCCAGTACTCCACACATTTCCTTCTGCATCTCAGAGGTGCATGTAGCAGTAAGACAGCACACTGGCACTCCACTGAGGATGGCTACCATCCCCACTATGCTGGTCAAAATGTGCTTCCCCTTCAACACACGAGAAAACAATAACACTTTACAGTGAATAAAAACGATTCACATGCAGAACTCCATGCTGAGCCACACTTAAATGAATTCGCCAGAAGGCCCACCTACAACACCTGCTTTCAAGAAAGGATGGGCAGCACTGCCGTCTGTTATTTGGTAGTATAGACATTAATGTAATGTTACACATCTAAATGTTTATTTGGAATTAAAGCACTTGTTTGACACACATGTAATTAGACAAGACAGCATTTTGCATTTTCACAGAGCTGTAATACTCTTACCATACTATCATACAGTGAGCCTCGTCCATTGCCAAAAGGCAGACCCTTGCTTTAATTGCCTTGAGCGCTTTCTGCCATTTCTCTGACAATGCTGCTCTGGGGGCCATGAATACATGGGAGTACTCACCACTCTATATCTAATCAAAAAACAGGAAATATGAGGTATGAACACACACAAGTACTTTTTCATTATACTTACAAATTTACGGAAGAGCTACAATAATTCAAGTTGGTGTTTGCCATATTTACCTTTCATCAGATACCTTTGTTTACAATTGTTTACAAACGTTGGTATTTAATTGGCATATGCTGTGGTTTTCGTTAGTACCCCTCATCAAGCACCCCCAGTTTTTAGCCTTTTGTTACTTCGATACGTGAATATTATGTTTTCCTTGTTATTTGTTGCTTGTTGTTGATGTTGGGGTAATACCTGTGGTTGGGTTGGCCTCGGTCTCCGCTACTGCGTAAGAGGGTACACCTAACTTCTCCAATCGTAGTCTCTGATCAGCCATCAGTGCAATAGAGGACTGATGACAACTGCAATGTGTTTCTTCTTGGTGTGGTCACGTCTGCAAATTATGAAAAAAGAAACATGTCTTATATCAATTATTCTGCCAATGTCCTGATTCCTAAGAACAATTTTTCATACATTTTCCAAAACAATGTAATTAAGTTACACCGTCCACTTTATCGTTTGGAGGTCCTCCCATGCAATATCAGTAGTTCCAGTAAATGTATTAATCAACTTTTTATTTATAAGAAAATGATCAGTAGTGTTCTTTTGCACTTGCCCATAATGGCCTTCACAAAACCTATCAAACACCTTCGATCCATGGTGGATTGGGATCAAGTGTTACCCGATTCTTTTGAGGACATTTTTGAGTCATGAGTCCCCAAGCTCGAGTTCGAGTCATCATGATCGAGTCCGAGTCCGAGTCATTTTCCAATGTGACTCGAGTCCGACTCTGCGTGAGCATTCCATGCATTTAGGCCTACTTATCTTGGCCCCATTTTACTAGTAGGCCTACCATAACATTAGTATGCAATGCCACTAACCCCCTAGATATCTGCTAGTACTAGGTTTACCTTATCCAGTGTTCAGGACAAATCCGTATATAAGGCTCTTTCCAAACCCCTTAGGCAAGACTGCGAAGACGTTTGCTTTCTCCAACAATGCTTTCAAACCTGTAGCTTCCTCGTCCTTGACAGAGGGAAGGAAATTCGTATCTCACAGATTGTCACATACTGCCTCTTCCAAATTCATCATGTATGAGATGAGACTCAAGTATTCTCCTCTGCGCAAATCTGTCTTATCTGCTTGCTGTGAGGCACAGGCAAAAACACTACCTTGATATGTTGAAAGCACATGTACACAAAAGTCTCAATGTGTTGGTTTTTTTTGTTATTTGTGGCTGTTTACTGCTTGTGGCTCTTGCCTCGGCTGCTTTTATTTTGTCTCAGAGCGGAAGGGAGATTTTTTTCATCATTTCTTGCAAAATCAGGACCGATTCCACCCCTTTTCTTCTGTTGACGCAGGCTACGTGAGTACCAGAGGGAGTTCAGAACCAACTGTACAGCGCTCTTTGGACATAAGGCGCACACAAAAAATTATGTTCGATTCTGTCTTGTATTCACGTGGTAGTATTTAAAGCAAACGCTGGCATATTAGGATTATACATTTTTCAAATACATTTTCTGCAAAGAGAAATCAATTTAAAGCGGGATTTTGTTATGGTCCTGAAATGTTTATGCTAATATGCAGAGTGAAGTGTGATTAGTTAACCAATCCGGATGCAGATGACTGAAATGCTTTAAATCTTTGTCTTTTTTACGTGCCTTATTTCAATGAATAATAGGTAGAGGTAATCGTGATTTCAAAAAAATTGAAATGTGAATTTAATTAAAACACTAAAAATGAGCCAATATCATCAAAATTTTAATAACAAGTTTCCATTTAATTTCTTAAGCATTTCAGTCATATTCTGCATTCCGATTTGTATGTAAACTCATGGCAAAATAATCACACTTTACTCTGCACACAGCGCAGAAAATGCAAATCAAATGAAAAGTGCTGGTTCCACTTCTAGGGTAACCCCATTCTATGGCCATGCACTCGACTAAACTCCTTGCTGAGTTTAGTCGAGTGCGTGGCCATAGAATGGGCCTACTTCGGATAGGGCAACATTATAATCCAGTGGCTATTGTTATGGCAGTAAAACGTCTGGTTCCCTGACCTAATAGTATTCAACGTCAGAATCGTTGGCCGTTGGAACCAGACTATCAACCGAATGGTTCTCATACTTTATTTCCCTTTTTAAAAACGTCAAAACTCCTCCTAAGTTAAAAAGGTCTTCCAAAACCACTGATCACAAAAAGAAAATGAAATCTACTAAATTTAGCACGATTTAAAAAAAAACATAAAAGTAAAGAAAACTATTAAAAAACAAAAACAAACAGTTGATAATTGGCCAGCACCAGCTTTCTTTTAGTAAATGATATATTATGCCGGCACCATGGGCATCCCGGGGTTGGGGGGGGGGGGGGACACCCCCACGGAAAAGCAAAAAAATAAATAAATAAATAAAAGGAGAAAAAAAGACGGCGTTATCTTCCCTTTTAAAACAAGTCCACCAAGGGGATGAATCAGCACTTACAACTTACAACGTAAATTGAATGGGGAAGATGAAAAAAAAGACCAACCAACGTAGGTCCCCGGATGAGTTAAACGTTTGACTACTGTGTGCTGGGGATCCGGGTTCGAAAATGCTGCCGCCGCACTGCTCAATTTTATTTTATTGTTGGCCTATTTTTTTTTATTGTTTTCTTTACTTTTAATTCATGTAGGCCTAGGGATTTACCTTTTCATCAAATTTTTCTTTTTTTAAGCATATTTCATTTTCTTCTTCACAATCCGTGGCTTTGGAGGATTTTTAAAAAAAATTAGAAAGCAGGGAATTTAAGAAAAAAGAAAGAAAGCCGGATCCGGCTAAACTCAGTCATGCATTTGTCATGTTTGTCAATGTCATGACACTTGACATGACAGTGAGCAAATGGTGAGTGCCGCGTTTCGTTTTATTTTAATTTTTTTATCGGCCTCATTCAATTTCAGATTTGCCTACCTTAGCAAATTCTCCTGCCAGCTTTTGATACTTGGTTTGTAGGTCTGCCATGATAAAACTTAGAAAATGTGTTCAGATTAATTGAAATCTTTCAGAAGAGTGCACAAATTGCAGGCAAAATTTCACAGGTGCAGAGGATGGGCGAGACAAGGGGGCGGCCATTTTTCTATCGTACGGTGGCATTCTGGGAAATATTCAATATGGCAGCGCCCATGGGGACACTGGACGAATACTCGCTTGTAATAGCGTGAACTAAAACTGAGCGTTTCTTCATTAATGAGGTATTTTGTGAACTTTTTTACACTTTTTTCTTATTTATTACAATTATTTTACAAACCTACGCATGTACAATCAGCTGAAGTTGTTACTTCCGGCCTAGACCATCACTACTCGAGAAAAAAATCTGTTGTCCAGATTCCGGACATGCCGGACACGTGGTACATTGTAAATGGATTGCAGGTCAACTCCCCCCCCCCCCCCCCAGCCGACTCGCCTCTTACCGACTCGCCCCTTACCGACTCGCCCCCTGACCGACTCGCCCCCTGACTGACTCGACCCTTACAAGCTCGCCCCCTGGCTGACTCGCCCCCTAGCTGACTCGCCCCCTCCCCTCCTTGCCAACTCCCCTCCTAGCCGACTCCCCTCCTAGCCGACTCGCCCCCTGACCGACTCGCCCCCTTGCACCGTACGGGGACATCGTGAAATAAAAAGCCAAATTACTCAAATGCAAGTTTGAAGGATTTCCGATACCAATGCAAAAAACTATTGATCCTTTTGAGTTTTATAAAGAATTTGTGTTGGAAACACCTTAGCACAACTTTACCGATATAGCGCAGCGTGATTTTTCACGGAGTGCCCGTGGCATAGGGCCCGTTGGGCATGTGCGCGTAGTAGCGTTCACGGTGACTGCCGGTGGGTGCCGGCGCGCGACAGCTACAGGTACTGGTACGGTGGGTGCCGGCGCGCGGCAGGTATACCCGCGTTCACCGTTTGTCAATGACATAACGTTATAATTGTAAATCTCGACTCTGGGTCCTCAGTTTCATTAAAAAATATTTTTCAGAATAAATGATGTATATTTGAAAAATGAAAAAAAGGTTTTTCATTTTTTTGGTTTAGTGGTGTTCTTATCAAACATACCGAACGGTTTTGAAAAAGTTATAAAAGAGGCTCAGAAATTGAACTTTCAGAACCAAATTTTGAATTGGGCAATAAAAGAGGCTCAGAAATAGAACTTTCAGAACCAAATTTTGAATTGGGCAATAAACTCAGATAACGAAGCTGATTTGCTGGACTGCTCTGTTTCCCTCCACTGTCTTTATTTTTTTTTTACGATGTCCCCGTACAGTGCATCATTTTCCAGGGGGCGAGTCGGTCAGGGGGCGAGTCGGTCAGGGGGCGAGTCGGCTAGGAGGGGAGTCAGCTAGGGGGCGAGTCGGCCAGGGGGCGAGCTTGTAAGGGGCGAGTCGGTCAGGGGGCGAGTCGGTCAGGGGGCGACTCGGTAAGGGGCGAGTCGGTAAGGGGCGAGTCGGCCAGGGGGCGAGTTGACCTGACACCTGTAAATGTTGTACGTTGGAGTAGCTAGTGCAGCCCGAGTGACTTGGGTGATCGTGCCAGTTTAGATCAAATTAGAGTCTAGGGTGTTTTATCTGAAGCAGACTTCTCTCAATTCTAATGATAGGCCCAGCCTACTTTTTTGTAACTTATTTCAGGTAGGCCTAAGTGCAATTTTCGTAAGCGGTTTACGCCGGTTAATGTCGTGCCATTCAGTGTGCCTTGCATGTTCACGGAACATTGGTACGGTATAAAGTCAAATAAATTAAAATAAAAGTTGATTTTTTTTTTCTCGTAGGGAACCTGGCCCGTATAACTAAAAAATCACCTAATCCGAGTAACTTGGACCCAACTATAAGCGTCTTTTTAACATTCGGACTCCAAATGTTGGGTCGGACTAACGATCACCGTAACTTGGGCCCTACTTATCGCCTTTTTACCGAATAACGACCCAACATGTGTATGCTCCTTTTATGCCCATTGCACGAAGTATATTTTTATATTTACATTAAAGGATGGCAGACAAGCAATATCTTAGTGCTGTTTCACTATTTGGATAAATAAAATTTACATAAATGTAAAATTGGTTAAAATGATCTGTACATACTTTGATAAATGATTTGGGGGACATTGCCGTTGCCGTGCCCTACCCAAAAATTACTGGGGGAGAGGTATACCGCCCATTTCTGTCGGGGCTGAAGTTATCCATTTCCTACATCTACAGACATTTCTTATATTACTGGCAACATTTCACTTCAAGTCTCAATACATGCATTTGTTTTTTGACGATTTTAAAAGCTGCCATCCAAACAGTGAAACATAAGATTGGCATACAGGACACTATCAATAAGTATCATTTTGGTAAGAGTGTCTTTAATGACATTATTGTTCCATTTGGGAGTTGAGATGTTTGCAGGATTTAGCTAACGAACGTGTGACCGGAATGCTTTGCCATGTTACCTCTGACTCACAGCCTCTTTGTTAGACTTTCATCATGTCCATGTGGAGTGTTGAGAAGGGAAACCTCCAAGTACCATTATCGCAGTTTGGCTTAGAGAAATGATCAAAGAAAAATCTTAACATAATTCCCTAAGCTGGGCCTAGAACCATGACTGGCATCTGTGTGCACTTTGGTGTATTTGTCACTGTAACAAGTTTTGATTATTCAGTTTGAAGACATTCAAATGATAAACATAAACTTATTCTTTCTTTCAAGGTTGTGGCATCACAAATAATCTCCTGTTGATAAGTCGAGTAGCCACCACAATGTTGTTGGGAAGAGCAACTGCCATTGGCGCTAACAAACTTGTCTTGCTGTTCCCAAGGAATGGGTCTTCTGCACCAACAAGCATGATGACTACACTCACAAGACGATTAGTCCAACCTCTGTTGTCTTGTAGTGGTAAGACACTGTGCAGAGACAGTGGACAATATCTCAGCATGCAGTTGAGGCAGATTAGCAATCACTCCAAGACACTTGTTGATAAGAATATCCTCATCTACCGGAATGATGGTTTCACCTTCTTCCGTGTGGTGGGTGTATTTGCATTGGCTCAGCTGGGCTTCTGGTCCTACCTGACTTATTCAGCATACACGTCCATGACCGATTCCAGGAAGTTTGAGCTGGCTAAGTATGGACCAGAGGGGGCGCCCTCCGACAAAAAGAATTGGACAACACTGTCGGGAATACGGATGAAGCTGCATTCTGGTGTGTGGAGATATGCAATCACTGCACTCTGTGTTGTTGTGGGTATGTGAGAGTTATACAAATAGGCACTAAATGCAGTATCATTCAACCAGTGAAGCCATTCCCCAACTGTATTCAGAAACTTTATAGGTACATGGGTACATTTGCTTTTTGTGTATTTTTCGTTTCAAGCAACAGAATTGATCAACAGCTGTATCTCATTAAATTCTCATAAGAGATTGCTATGGTGTTGTGCAAACTGATGCCAATATTGTTACTCTACCATGCAAAACCTCAAATCTTTATATGGAAAAGGTGATATCTAAAAGTATTGGCACATCTCAATATACAAATTTGTTTCTCCCCCCCCCCCCCCTTCAGGTGGAGTAATCTTCACTGGGGCTTTGACCTACTCCAAGAAATGCATCCACCGCATTGTCCTGCGTAAGGGGGGAGACCGGATCACCATCAGTACCTTTGGCTTCTTTGGCCAGCCATGGTCCTTCACCGTGCCCGTGACCAATGTCTCCTGCCAGCACTCCAGGCACGGAGTGCGCACTCAGTTACCCATCAAAGTCAAAGGTCACAGCTTTTTCTACCTACTGGACAAGGAGGGCAAGCTGTACCACGCACCGCTCTTTGATCAGACTGTCGGAATGAAGAGGATGCTTCTCTCCTGAAATGCCTGGCCCCCAAAAGAGGACTAGACATCCCAGTCTCAACTTGAAATTCCTAATTTCAAAAATGCAAACTTTGACTGTAGTCAAATGTTTTTATTAAAGTCATGTCGAACCCGGTCAAAGTTGGACCCGGACCAATTTTGGACAAAAAGTAATCCAGACCAAGACTCAGTGGGATTCCAATTGGTCTGGGTTTGCGTTGGCCTTGTCCGAGTTAGCCTGCATTTGCATTGGGTTGGATTGGATTTGAGCTGCTTTTATTGACTGATGAAGGAGTTACATATCCTCCATGTGTGAATTTTTTTAACTTCTCAAGAGAGGATAAGCAGTAATTTCTTGTTGTAAATGACATCATCTTTCTCCTGAGGATCGTCAGAGTATACTGTTCAAAATGTCACAACAAATAATCTCAAAGTGGTTCATTTAGAACCAAGACTTATTATTTTCTGATTTTGTAACATCTGATCTTCATGGCTCTGCTAACCACAGAATTCTGCGCTTACGATCACTACTCTGTGCCAACAGTGCTAGCAAAACAATCTGTGTTAACACTTTAAGCAGAGTATATACATGAACATTGTATGCATGTACATAGGCCAGAATCTCTTGCTTACCCATGAATTATAAGCTAACCGTATAAAGCATAGAATTGTCTGCTACATTAAGCAGGGATTTGTCACTAATGGCAAGCAGAGCCATGAAATTGGACCCATTTCTCACCATTTTCAAATCCAAAAATATGTCCAAGTTTCCTTAGTATTACAGTTTATACAACACCTTAATCAATCCCCGTCATCTGATTGGTGGATCGTTGACCACATGTCATTGAATTGTTCGTCCCAACGCACGGCGCGCGCGCGGCGCGCAGCGCACAGTGCAATGGAAGTTCTATTGCACGGTGAATAGAACTTCCATTGCACGGTGTTACTGCTGCTGGTGTTGGTGCTGTTTTAAATCGAGATAAATTGAATATGATTGTTCTTAACCTGTTGAAAAGTTTGCATACATTTAATATCATGAACTTGTCGAACTTTTAAACAGTTTTTAACCTGAATAAATTGGCTATTAAAAGTCAACCAATCAGATGACAAGGATTTATTCAGGTGTTGTATAAAACAAATAATGAATGTTTCACGTTCGTGCAATGGAAAGAATAATTTCATTCGGTGACAGGTGAAATGTTCCATTCCACTCGGCTTCGCTTCGTGGAATGGAACATTTCATCTGTCACCTCATGAAATTGTTCTTACCATTGCACGCACAAACATTCATTATTTGTATAATATCTCCAATTGTGGTTTATTGTAATGACAATGTTCATGGATTTGTCTTTCTCTTATCCCCATCTCTAAGCATGCACGTACAAATGTATTAACAAAGTCATTTGGTCTGGTGAAATTGCAATTCTCATTGTCACTGTAAATCCAATACTGGCCTCATAATAATAGGGCATAATGTGCTTGGACATTTAAACAATCCCAATCACAGACGTGATTCATGTATAACATTCGTGCACAAAAACACAGAAATGACACCAATAACTGCCACCTTTTTTACATAGAAATAGTCCTGATGACCCTTTATTTCATTCTCATAGTTCCAGTAAATTATTACAAAAAATGCTTACTGTTAAACTTGACACGGTATTGTGTACAACATGCTTAACATTTTTAACAGTAACATATAATAATAAGTTGTTCATTTATTTTATGAGTTGCGCTGTCAATGAACTGAACCACATAGTTTTTGTGCAAAAACATACCGGCTGACAGTAATAATTTAATTGGTAAAATATACAGACACATACATGGGTTTGCTGTTGGTTGCCTAGAACCCAACCAATTGTTCTGGTGACTCAATATTGTTCTGGGTCATTTTTTGGGCCTAAAGTAGAAGTAACTCTAAAACTACACTAAAAATTGAAGTCATGAAAATTAAATTAACTTCTGGAAATTAATCTTGCATCATAATTCAGAAAAAAAATAATGGCATCTATGATATTGAATGTTTTCTATTCTAACTGGAGATGTGGGCCCACTTTGTTCAGGTCCCCTTTTCTCTGGGAAGAAAACACAGTACACTCTGGGGCCATCACACTGCAACTTAATGTGGACACCGTACATTCAATGGAGTCATGCAAATTGAAGTTACTCTATTTACACTGTCCAACACAAAGAACTTTACTTGGCTAAAATTTAGCTGGAAGTTCCAAAATGTATACATGTAAATGGTGCCTGCCATCAAAAGTGTTTGTTTTTTCTTTGTAATAAATATTAAGCCTCTACTTTTATTGAATAATTAGTCAGGAATTGTTTTGTTCTTATACAACAGATAAGTTTAAGTTTACCCACAAGATAATATATCTCTTCCAATATTTGTACTCTATTGAATAATTTATTTTTCTGCCTATACAACACCGAGTAAATTGTGTAACATTTCATTGTTGGATCTGAAAAGTGCAAATCCATATATTCACCCGATAGGTTTTCTTAATAATTATGCATGATGTCATGACTATGCAAATATCTTCATATGACCCCTGACCTTAACATTCAGTCTACTGTGGAAGATAAGCTTAAGCATTATGGAACAGATAGTATTAGGAGTCATACACAATTTAAAAGTTACAAAATCAGAACAGATATTTGTAAGCCTCAAGAATGCTGCATCATTAAATATCATGATTAAAAAATGGTAAATATTAAAATAATAACATGCCTTCAAAATTGACTGTGCTGAGACAACAGATAAATTCTGTTCTGCACGCATATGTAAATAAAAAAGAAAAGGACTTTTTAAAACAGAATTGTAAAAAAAATGTGTCTTACTGTTGACTCTTATTTCGTTAAGTCCACTAGATTAATAGAACTAGTTAAGATCAGTTCAAATTAAATTCTGAACAATCCTTTTTGTTCATAATATTGTGCACAGCTGGCTATGTATTACACATTTTGTATAGTTTACTGTTTTACTTTGGAAAATTAATTGTCGTCCTGGATCTGAAATCGCATTCCTAAATAAGACTAAATTTGCACCGCAATGGTAACTATACATTTCTACCTTGCAGGCTTCCCAGCCTATCTTCTAGACATTTTGTTCCTTTCCTAATATCTGGCTGGTTGATATTGCATTTTAAATAAAGAAAAAAAGAGAGAGAAACATTGGAAACAAAAGGTTGAAGGTGACTTCTAATACTCAATTAAGTTGCACTTGCCTACAAATAGAATGGATTGACAAAATGAAGGAATATCAGCATTGCTGACACAGTGGCAGTCTTCAAATTGTCAATTCCACTGAACGGGGAACATGTTATGTTAGTAAGAAAAATACTGCCCACATTGGTTGTGTGTCCTTGTCAACCAGTGCTGTTGGAAAAACATCCACAATTGACATACTCCTTCAACCATGTCACATGATTTACGCACAATTGTTGACAGATTATGGCACACACAACCAATCCACAATCACAAACCAAACAAGCAAATTTCCCAGTTGATGCAGACCGATCTCTCTGCTAGAAAACCCACTGTGCAGACACGCAGCCATTTTGTTTTGACAAGATTTTCAGCAGGTCACAGTTGATCACTTTGCACTACAAACTGCAGTTAAATTGTGATAATGGGGTGGTAAGATCAATCAATTCAAAATCCTCCTTCAATAACCACTGCCCTTCTATTTTGAATAGAAAATCACACTTGAGAGGCATTCTGGCAAATGAGAAGGAACCGGGCACAGGCCGTAGTGGAGAAAAATGCAAAAAATAGAGTGGGGTGAATTTTTTTTATCGATTTTCAGATTTATTGATATTTGTAATCTTTGATATGTCTACTACACATATTTCAAAGAAATAGTATAAAAATCGTTGAAGAAAAGTGTTTTTTAAGAGAAAAACAACTGGCGTCTTTCATTTTCACGAATACAAAACTCCCAATGTTAGAGGCATTTTTCTCAATATTTTACTTTTTGACATGCCAACTAATGCGAAATTTGAACAGCCATAACTTGTCAATGAAATGTTCAATTGAAGTGCAACAAACAGGAGAATTTTATTCTCTTTCCTAATACCCACAAACCCTCGTTTCGACCACTGCCCAGTTCTGTCTCATTTTGCCAGAACGCCTCACAATTAACCGTGTCACAGTCTTGGCAGATGCGATGAACTGTATAAGCCACCCTCAACTATTACCTTGTCACTGGCTACGTGTTGCAACAAGTTAGATCGGTCTGCTGGCACAGCAATCAGAAGCTACAAGAATCACAAACCTACCACCTACAGCCCAGCTACAGAGCTGTACTAGTCAGTAAGGGGGGAATCTATCAACTACAGGATGCACGGCAAACTTATTGCACGGTGATAAGGCTGAAGAGCTAAACCATTAAAAAAAAAGTGTTGTCCCTGAAATACAAATGTATGGAAATTAAATTTTGCAAATCCCTTGTGTACAACTATTTCAATTTGTGCTCAATTTCAATTGAGAGCTTCAAGAAAAATGGAGTGTACATTGGAACATGAAGCTCATATAATATTAAACAAAAAGTACAATGTACATGCAATTGTTCCAAATCTCTCTCCAATACAAAAAAATTGATCCTTCTATATTTGTTCGTGTTATTTTTATGTTTTGTTCACAATTTTTGTTTGTTCCTTGTTTTAAATAATACAGCTAAGAAAGAAAGGGTTACAATAAATGTAAAAGAAGGCATACAGGACTCAGTAGAGGTAGGAAAAAGAACCTAAACTATTACTGTACATAAAAGTAAACTTAATCTTTGAATAATGATGAACAGTTACATGTACTTTACGATTTCTCAACTACGGTACTGTACAATAAATTACATATGCACTGCCCCCACACATTGACATACTTGTGTCTTTTCTTCTTAAAAAAAAAAAAGCCTGAAAATTGCATGACTGATCACACTTCCAGGCGTAATATATTTCATCAATATACACTTTCCAACAACACAAAATCTATCAGATTTATCGTAGTGATTTTAAAATGTACTGGTTTAGAGTCTTATCAGACGTTGGCATGAGTTGACTTCAGGATTCAGCAATTTGTTTTATTGGAGACTACCCAGGAATTTGTATTCAGAAATCATGATGCACAATTCATGACTTTCCATTTGCATATGACATGCAGGAAGTTTTGGTGTTTGCAATAGTTCAACTTTCCCCCAAACTGAAGCTTAAGCAATGTAATATTACTCTGGACTGTGCTTGACATGGTTCAGCATCTTACAGTGGGGGACAAAAATCAAATCCAAAAATCTTCTTTTCTTTTTGGTTTTGTTAATCTGGTCTACCCTATAATAAACTAAATCTTTAACAAAATTAGATAACTGATTAAAAGTGTTGGAAGAAAAAAAATTGACATTTTAAACAAATTAAAAATATATCATAATTACATTTACCTTAAAAATACACAATCACCTCCCTTGTCCTGATGGTTTGTTCTTTCAATAATGAAAATTCACAATAAAAATATTCAATAGGATATTTTATCATACATGACAGTTACCATGTAAATGACAAGCAATTCAACAAGTTCCATTAAAATTCTGTTTTTGTTCATAAATGTTTTTTAATAGACCTTTACAATAGACCTTTATGATGCAACAGTCTCTCCTGATATAAGCCAAACAGATGACTTCCCACAACAGCAGTTGGGGACATTTTCTAGCATGTCTTGAACAGCAGAAATTGGTTTTATTACTAAAAAAAAAGGACACACTTATGTCCATCTGATTCCTTGTTGGTACAATCGGAGGCCCAACGATATGTTCCACTGTCATAAAGGTCTATTGTTGCCACCTACACACACAAAACTGATCTAGATTGTGAGATGGGTGGTCCAATGGTAGGAAGGTTTATCCGGAAGATATCAAATTATAAGCACTTCTCCAACCAAAGTGGGGTATCTTTCACATACCTGAAGAAGCTTGACGGATGTGTTACAATGGCAATAAATTCAGAAAATTAAAACCTGGCATTTTTGCTTTGCTATGCCCAGTGTTTTTATTTTATACACTCATCTAACATGGACTTTTGGAAGATCATAGAGTGACTGGAAATAAATCTGGCAGGTAATTCTATGTTCTTTCGATAATTTCTTTCTTTTTTTGTACAATCATAATTTGGAAGAGCTTTGTTCCGTTGTTGCAAGAGTTTTGACCAATCGCTGTGCGATTCTGGAAACTCTGCAGAGTCTCAATCTAAAGCTACTTGTTGTAACATCTACATTGTTTTTACCAATATACTCCCCAATTAGCACCTTAATAGTCTACCTGGAAAACCACTTAGGATTAGAGAAGACGGTTTACACCCAAGTTGACTGACATAAAAACAACCAGCTGGGATTGCCAAAAACATTGAATGACATCAGTTTTTCCCACTTACAAAACTTGTCCAATCAGATTACAGGGAAGATTTGTTACAGAACATGTGTAACCAATGAAATCTCAGAAACTTGAAGGCCATTGCCTGTACTCATTCAATGAAGTATGGTGCCTTAAGGCTACAGTCTCCAGGCTACTTGTGGAATGTTCTCTCAAGTCAATGAAATGTAGTTGCTACTGATGCCTCAAACAAAGACAGGCTTTGCAGATCCTGTGAAGGAACTCTGGATCAATGTGGGGGCAAAAACTGACTTGTGATTGTGACATAAAATGCCGTTTTAAAGCAAGCGAATCTGGGGTGTTTATGTCAGCAACAGGGGTAGACACCAAATAATCTCTTTCTGCTAATTCCCTTTTCCAATATTTGATGAAACACAAAATATTTAAAGATAAAAAATAAATGTGCGACCAAAAAAAATAAAATGGCACAGACTGAAATTACAATGACGATGACACTGGTTAATGCTTCATCTACGAATCACAATGATTGTTCTATACAGTCACATTTACATATTACCGTAATGCTGGACCAATAAGAAAATGTACAGGGCAAAAAATATGGAAGCACTGGAATCTTGTTACATTCAGATTTAATTTAAAAAAGAAAAAAGGAGAACGACAGTTTTTACAGGATGATAATCCTGTAACTTCTGTCCCTACATGTACATAACCAATGCACCTGATAGTTACACCAATGTTCTTAAACCTTAACCAGCTAAACGATGCATCCACAACCGAATTTCCTTTTTTCTTTCCCTCAGTACAAAGGCTTACGCCCAAACTTTTGTTCCGTTCAATTGCGTACTATATGGCAAGAAGTCTTTACAGATTTGCGCACCATTTTGTTTTTCAACAATGCTTGGGTTTGTTGGCACACGATCGTCACCAAAAAGTTTCTTTAAGAAGTTAAAGTGGTTTTGTTCTCAACTTTCCTCAAAAGCAGTTGTGGGATTGCTATTGTAGATTACAATTTCTAGGAATAAACCACAAAGATACATTGGAACATTGTGGGTTTTTTCAGGAAGAATTATTATGGCAAGTTTGGCAAAAACCTTCAAAGACATTACAAAATTGATTTACTGTCATTGATTCCTTTGTTTGGCTTTGATGGAAAACATTTTGCTGGAAGTCTCAATTTCAAGAGGATTCAAGGCAACCCACAATTGCTACGGAGTAGCTTGATACAAAACCACACCGTTTTTGCAAACAGCTTGTCAGACGATCTGCTCTGGAAAGTGAGAGAAAATACTTCAACTTTCTCAAAGGTTTTGCCGTATCCAACAAACCCAACATCATATTATTTGGAATGGAAGCAGTGCAGCGAGCAGCCAACTTGAACATTTGCTCAACTCAACCCTACCCGACCCCCCCCCCCTCAACTCTTCAAATGTATCATCATCATCACCACCATCATCATCATTCTCAATAGCATCTACAAGCGACCCAATCAAAAAGGGAACAACAGGCATTAAAAATCAAGCCCCTGTGGTTATTAAAAGATAAACTAAGAGGGGGAAAATCTTTAAGACTCTTAAGATGGAAGTCAGGGGAACTGACCATGCAGCAGGGAATCAATACAACTCCCAGTTCCCATCATGTGACAGTAACATCAGCCTGAGGACTGATTGAGCGTAGGGGGACTTCACTGGTCTTGATGCCTGCCAGGTTGAGTAGGGCATCCGCTCCAGCAGCCAAGTCGTTGTCCATGGATGAGCGCGGCGGCCGCTTCTTGATTGGTAACTGCAGGGCCTTCCTACTGGGGGTGCTCTTCTTGATATCATCCATGTCATCAAACCTGGCGTCGTGTATGTAGCCGCTGTCCCCAAGCCGCTTAGACTCCTCGTCTTGCTCCATGTCTGACTCCGAGTCCACATAGTCCTCAAAGTCGCTCATGTCACATTCCACGGGGTCATCATCCTCATCCTCATCAATGCAAGCCTCATCCATCTGCTGAGCTCGGTCTCGCTGGGCTTTGAGGATGGCGCTCAGGCTGTAGGTATGGTCGTCTGACATAGAGGGAGCCGGGGTACACTTTGTCTGGAGGGCTGCCTTGTTGTATGGTGTGGACGCCAACCTATCAGGACAATCCAAAGAGTAATCTTTTTATGAAAGAAATGTGCTGGCCATTTTTTTACTGGTAACAGGAAATAGCAAGGAGATTAAGAGCAATTTGTGTCACAATGGATCTAGGATTCAAGGTATCTATAACATCACACTAAATTAAAGATAACATGGAAATAAAAGCTTGCTTGCAGGGACTAAATTGTCTTTTCAAAATCAACTTTTACATCATTTACATGGCAAGTTCAGTTGAATTGAGAAATGAGAGAAAGCCAGTTGTCACATCACACGAACTCAAATGCACGACAAATTGCCGTAAATAACAAACACTTGTGAGCAATGTACCAGAGATAAAAAGTTTTCAACTTTTGCAAATCAGCAGAGCAAATAGTTCCCGTGTTGCACTGAGTTTGGATCAGTCTTCAGATTGGCTGGGAATGCACAGGTTCATGCTACTGTGTATCACAAATATCACAAATATCTTCACTTCATGGAAGTACATGTACTCCTTCCATGTGGGAGGGGTAAGTGGGAGGGGGTAAGGGGTGGGTGGGAGGGGGTAAGGGGTGGGTGGGAGGGGGAAAGGGGTGGACTGGAGGGAGGGGGAGGCAGGGGTGGGTGGGGTAGGCGTGGGTGGAGATTACTGGCACCCACCTCGGTCTTGGCAGGCTCTGATCATTCAAGGCAGTCTCTGCCAGGTCTGAGAGTGTAGGTCTGACGTGGGGCTGACGAGGCTTGGCCTGTAAGGGAGCCATTCCCCCAATGGGTATACTGCCATGACGTGGGCCATGCTGAGGAGAGAAGGACTTCAAACGGGCATCTGCAACATAAGTCACATCCAAAATCATAGCATAAAGGTTTATCCAAAATTGTTGCATTAATCATCACAATTATAATGGTGTCTTTCCATAAAGTCTGGTAACAATTCGTGACACTATTAATAGCTGAGGAAAAGGGATAACAATGAGCAACTTGTTATTAATGTTGACCTTCTGTTGTTTCAGAATGCTTCAATAAACAAAACCTGGATGACATAAAAGCTGAGTGTGGTGGAAGACAATTTAGCATGCATTGACACAAACACAAATTGTTAAATCAGCCACAGAAAGTTGCAATGTACAGATTCTACCAAAGGACATAACCAGGATCACCCAGAAAATACATGCATGGAGCAAGCCTAATAACTGCATGGAACTACAAAACCCAAATACTTCATAAAAAGTACCCATTTTCACCGCGTCACTAATTTTGTCACATTTTTGCTGAATCTTGGAATTTTTGGACATTTGTCTCAAAAATTTGTGAATTCCATGAACAATATTTTGTGTAAAATATTTGTACATGTACATGCACATCAAAGTTCCCTTAAGAACGGCACCTGATTCTACTACACACAACCATCCATTATCTACCGGCTAATTACAGATGTACATGTACATGGTTATGAATTCAATTGAGCAGTGCAGAGAACCCTAAACTTATTATTGTCAGCAACATACAATGCCTGTGAGGGCGCTATACACAATAACCAGTGCCAGCCTGCTATGCCATTATCATTGCACTCAACTTGGTCAACAGAGGGCGCTGTTTCACCTGGCTGCTGCCTAACACGTAAATGCACCAAGCAATTCCTTATAAGGCCAAAACATAGTTCTAGTCATGAAGCCTTTCCACGAATGAAGACTGGGAAGGATTGAGGACTTGGAGTTGGTGATGGAGTTGGGGACAAAGGGGGAGGGGAGGGGTATAATAGAAACTTGGGGGAGGAGAGACAGGATGGCAAATCAACACACAGGGAGGGGCAGGAATGAAACCAGAGGATATGGCAGAATATCTGAGGATGATTCTCAGACGGAAAGGATGTACCGGTACATGTATGAGAAAAATACTTCAATCAAGTGTTTCCAATACATGCAAGATAAGGCACAGACAGGGGCTGGTCTAAAAAGCACTGTACTCTGTAGGGGCATCATTGCCAGAAAATTGAACTCATAATGCTATTATGGTGCTTTTGTATGCCTTTTAAGACTCAACTCCAGTATTTTGTGCAGTGAAAATGTAATGTTGAGTATCAAGAAAGGTCACCGTGTCCTAATATGTGTATATCCTGTGCACTACAGCCATCTTTGAGGTGAGTGCCTTTGATTCACAGGGATTTGCATGAGGAGACCTTTTGTGCATTCATTGTTACTGAATTGTAGAACCCAAGAAATAACTTTAAATGGCTTCTGAATGCAAATGGTCTAATAAGTAGAGTAGGAGGAGATACATGTACATGGTATTGGTGATCGATAGAGTTTGGCAAGGACATCTGTGGTTTTGGGGTTTTTTTTTTGGATGGACGTAAGCTTGTAATGTGTAGAAGGATGCAAGGTACTGGAAAGGAATATAACTGAGATGGGAGGGGTGGGGGGGGGGACTTACGTTCTTCAACTCGCTGCTCTGGGGGTGTCCTGAACATCATCATAGTGGCTGCAGCATCCACCTCACGCTCTGCAAACAAGACAAGACCAACAACAAAAAGAGATAAGATGGGCAGTTTATCAGTCTGTCTGAAGTAAATGTGTCTTACAATCACTAGACACTACCACACGTGAAATGAGCGCCCTTCACTTATTCATTCAGGACATGTTACCAAGAAACCCATCAACTGGTTCCCCCGCCACATCTTTCATAATAAAAAATCTCCTCTTATGAGATGCAAACAAATTAATCACGGCCATGTGTATGTAGGAAAAGCTCTGACACTGATTCCCTGCATCTTTCGAACTGTAGATGCTCCCCGACTATTTTATGATCAACTGAAGTGAGCGTAAACATCGGGTATTTGGTAAAGCAGTTGCAGGGATCTGCCACAGAGAAGGGAAGAGTAAAACAAATAATAAACGAGAGAGGAAAAAAGTGTCTTTGGGGTGCCGCAGGACAAGACAGGAAACATTCCGTCAAGCGGTGAGTGGTTTACTACCCTGAAATAATGTCCTACGATGACAGATGAGACACTCCATCAGTGGAATCTTGGAACGTGTAAGGAAGCCGTGCTCTTATGAATCAGCCTGACCAGACTCCGCAAGCAAATATACATGTATGTGTATACACAAAAGGCTCCGTCTAGGCACGCTTTTCTGAGCCAATCAGCCAAATCGATACAGGAGTACCAATATGCTTTTCATTCAAGAATCTATTGTTTTAGACACCTGCTTTACTTTGTCATAGACTGCGTTCCTTAGGTTTGTCTTTGATTTCATAAAATTCACAGTTTAAAATTGTTTCACTCGCGCACGGTAAAATATGACTGTGACAATAAGCAATAAAAAATGAAAATATTTGACTTGTTTAAAACAAGGGTACAGTGTCTCTGAAGGGTCAGGTTTAAATCCTGCTCCAGTTAATTTCTTTGTTGGTAAAATTTTGCTCGATTGACTTTGTGAGAAGTATAGTATCTGTTCATTCCAAAACGTTGAACATCCTAAGCCACTGTTGCCCTCAAAACCCTAACATTTTACACGTATGTATGTCTAGTACTGTGGTCTCCACTAGAGCTGCAGTATTACTCCAAAGGTTCTACAAATATCTCCTGGCCATTTCTATGCTAGCAGCTGATACAACAGTTTGGAGGCTATAGCCAGCTAAATACAGTTACCCAAAGATCTGAGGTGAAGCTTAATTCACTTGCCGGCACAGTAATGGGATTGGTATGGCAACATCATGCCAGTCTCCAAAGGGTTTATAAATTTCACTGGTTTTTGAAGGTTTGTCAAGAAAGATTCCCCCGCTATTCTTTTCATAATTAAAACCCTACTGGTGCATGAACTGTGCATTCAAGTAAGGGAAACTGCAATAATATGATAAATTCTATATTATTTAAAAAAAAAAAAAATTAAACAAAACCAAAACCGATGCCATTTTTGATTAACATCCTCACCCCTGCCGCTAGTTACTATGCAGCCAAGCGTAACAGCCATCTGTCACGACTTTAGCCCTAAGCCGACAGCCGCATTGGCGATTTATCCCCCTGCGTTGCCATGCCAACTAATTTGTTTCTGGCTGGGCTATTGAGCTGAGCTAGGAGTTGACTAAAGTTGAGCTGTGAAGCTAATCAGAGGGTGCACCTACTGGCACATGGTACTGTTTACAGTTGCTGGTCCCAGGTGTAAAGACCCCCCCCCCCCCCCGCCATCCCAGCCTTGGCTTAACCCAGTACATGTAGTTCCCGGCAAAGACACCCCCTCCCCCCCTTTCCCCACAAGCCACATTGTCGGCCAAGCCATATCTTGCATCCTTGATTAGGCATGCATCATTCATGGACTGACGCCGCCAGGTTCACACCTTTAGCCAATATTGAACCACACAGGCAGAGAGCAAGAAGGCGCAAGGCAAAGAGAGAGAGAGGTGCTGGAACCACCTATTGACTGGCCAAGAGTCCTGATGGTATAAATTATTTGTCATCACAAGATCCAGAGGTAAAGGATCCACTGTGTCATCATCACCATCCAAGATGAACCATCTAGCGATGCAATCGAGGGAGGCAATCACTGATGCAAGCATTACTCACACCAATTTCAGACTGTCAAGAATTGGGGCAATATGTCCAACGCAATGACCAAAAATAACAGCGTTGCTGTTGAAACCCCTCAGCCAGAGTCAGGTTATCATCCGGGAACCATTAACATTTAACTCACCACGGTGACCTTGACCTTTGACCTTTTGACCCCAAAACCAATCCCAACTTGCCTACTCCCAAGGGCAACACCCTACCAAAGTTAGACATAAAAATCTTATTTCTAACTCAAGTTATCATCCGGAAACCATTTACCTTGAATTCACCATGCTGACCTTGACCTTTGACCTTGTGACCCCAAAACCAATCCCAACTTGCCTACTCCCAAGAGTAACCCTCTACAAAAGTTAGACCCCAAAATCTCATTTCTAACTCAATTATCATCCTGTAACCATTTATCTTTAACTCACCATGGTGACCTTGACCTTTGACCTTTTGACCCCAAAACCAATCCCAACTTGCCTAACACCAAGGGCAACCCTCTACCAAAGTTAGACACCAAAATCTCATTTCTAACTCAAGTTATCATCAGGAAACCATTTACCTTTAACTCACCACGGTGACCTTGACCTTTGACCTTTTGACCTCAAAACCAATCCCAACTTGCCTACTCCCAAGGGTAACCCTCTACCAAAGTTAGACACCAAAATCTCATTTCTAACTCAAGTTATCATCCGGAAACCATTTACCTTTAACTCACCATGGTGACCTTGACCTTTGACCTTTTGACCCCAAAACCAATCCCAACTTGCCTACTCCAATGTTGTGTCTAACAAAATAACACATACATTTTATAAATGTTATCATCAAGTAAACCACACTGGAAAAAGGCTCTACTTCAATCAATATAAAGTTGTACAATAAAAACAAATGATCTTAGCTGGAATTGAACCTGCAACCTATGTAAATATACCGTACAAAGAGTCAATTACCTTTGAATTGGTAAGGCAGTTTTTCCTTACTTTATTCAAGTTGAATTGGCTTTCATCCACACAAACTAACAAGAGAGGGGCTTGGAGAAGTGAGTGATTTAAAAGACTGATTCCCATCCAGCCATATTTGCTACAAAATTTGATTTGAACATCTGAAGATAGAGCAAAGACCAACTTGCTACTATTGCTTCTTCCAGATAAGGGATGTACATGTATGCATGTATAATGTACATGCATACATCCCTTATCTGGAAGAAATATTTGTAATTGACCCCATATTATTAGAATAATCAGGTTTACTAATGGAACCAGCAAGAACCTCTGTGCTTGCATGGCCTGAGGCAAGCATAAGATATCAATAGCAAGAGCAATCCTGCACAAATCGCTGACCTTCCTGCTAACTGGTCCCTGGTGAAACACTGCACACAAACAGCATCTACATGTAGACTGTAGCGCAAGAGCAATTCCTTGGAACCTCCCCTCAAAAACCATCTACGTTATGACCCCTTCTCCATTTTCTTTAAACGGTTATGCCAAACTTTTACAAGATATTCACATATTCTACAAATATGAACATTGAAGTTTCTCATGAAATTGCTTTGAGGACCAATTCTTTTGAAATTTTCAAACTTTGTTCAGTGCACCACCATGTTTTCTTTTTTTTAAGGTAAGCAGAGATTTCTCAGTGTCTCAACTGATCAATGGGAGACTTTTGAGATGTTGGTGGCAGCAAACACACCGGTCCTTTTCAATTGTTTATGTCATGTTTAAGCTAAAGCGTGCATGATGCAAACAATGGGAAGAGGACCGGTGTGTTTGCTGCCACCAACGTCTCAAAAGTCTCCCATTTGTTAAATGCTTGAGATCTTCATAAACCTACAGATCACTTTTGTTTTGATGTCTTTGTGGTTTATTTCTTTTAATTGACAAGCTTCTCCTCGGACAAGCAATGTGCTTTTTAGGAGTCTACACATCAAGCAAGCATCAAGCTTTAAATAAGAGTAACCATGAATACAAACTAGGGAAAAAAAGGGATCAAAACAAAACCCAAACCACCTGCTAAATATCAGGCAATTTGCAGTGACCCACGCTAGTTCTGTTGGGTGCTTGGCCTTTGACTTTGCCTCTCTGGCCACATGGGTGGTGTTATATCAAGGTACCAGTATGATGGCCACAAAAACAACATGCTACCACAAGCTACATGTAATAGCACAACATGGACCAAGGAGCCCAAGGCCACTGCAGTGTTAGGAGAGAATGTGAAATTGAACAGGCTGTAACTGGAGTTTAACCCAAGGCTTTACAAGGTTTTCATCTAATTTACCACCAGTAACCTTCAAAATGTTTAATGTGTGCATGCCTTTCTGCAGCTTTTTTTTTCCAAGGGAATAGCACAGACCACTTGAAAAAAATCACATACATGTACATGTAAGGGAGAAAAAAACAAATTTGACTGTTACCAACGGCATATACCGGTATGTACACACATGCAGTATGAACAAATAAATGTAGTTGCCGGACATGGGTGCAGAACTTTGTGAAACTGTTGAGTTGGGCACCTTTTCTTTACTTATTTTTTTGGGGGGCAAAGCTGCATGATCATTAGTCTGAGGTGAGCCCACAGAGTGATTTTATGATTCCTTTCCATGTTTTGACAAGTATTACTTCTCTGGAGGGCTCAAAGTCAAACAGAACACCAAAGGGATACCACAGTTACCCCGTACATGTACTTTCCTTTTTTTGACAAAGCTACTTAAAAAAATATCCCCCTATACATGTACATGTAGAGCTTGTTCATGGCTGCATGATTGTGATGATTGTGAGATAACTAAATATTCAACTAATGTACTGTAGGGTCTGCCATCCAGTGGGAGAACCTTCCCTTATGAAACAATGAAGCACATTTTCCAGACAATCTTGCTAGTGATTTACAGAGAGGACTGGAACCAGAAGGCTTGCCGACACCAAAAAAAGCCATCTGACAGCAATTGATGGGTAACCATTACTCCTCCATAAACTGTTGTCCAGGGACAAGAGCATTAACCTCAGCTGATCCATGCCACCCAGCCCTAGGGCCTGACCCCGATTGCTCCTTCCAGCAGCTAAACAGTCAACATTCCTGGCCTAAATCCCTTCAAGGAAGAAGGAAAAAACAATCCCTCCCTCCCCTTTTTCAGAATTTATATTCTGATGTCCATGGACTCCATGGATACATCCTCATGCGTTTTTCTCTGTTCCATTGGGAAAGGTTTGACTGAAGTAGGCCATGGAGGTTTCCATGATTGGGCCAAGGGCACTACTATTAATTAAGCCACCTTCAGCCATGCAAGCCTGATTCTCCTTTTTAAAACAATTATTTTCATCTCTAAAGAAATATTACAGTTTCAATTCATACCAGAGCCTGATTTTCCTACCGATATGTCCCTTTGCCCTTCTGGTTTTGTTGTTAGCTTGAAGCCTAAGTGCTCATTAAGTGTAGGTATTGTACATGCACCCACAGACAGTTCAAGAAGGTTGGCTAAACACTTTGCTTGGCCAAGGCTGGATATTTGGTTTTCCCACCAATGGGGAAAATACTTTCTGATCCAAATCCTAGCATGTGAGTTAATTAATGTACAATATGTACAAATCTCTTCAATGAAAAATATATATATAAACCTACATGTATGACAATGAAAAGTATTTCAGTTTAATCTGAACAAGATCAATCAATGCATGACACTCAAAATAAAAAATCATGTACGTGTACACTACATTCAAACCAATCTTTACCCACAGGCCAGGAAATCGTTTGTACTGTCATTGTAAGTGCATCAGTGTAAATTTATACCTTGGGCACTTTTTTCACTTCAAAAAGCTGTATTTGAAATCCAGGATGGCATCTTTTGCATGCAAATTCTGAAAATTGTCACTCGTCAGCTATCAAAGTGGATAGTGACAGTGAAGTACCAGGCCAATGGCCTCTGGATGGGACCACCTGACTTAAAAGAGACTCTCTGACATTGCAGTATATGTACACGAACACAGGGTACTGGATAGACCATAATAAGACTCCAAACCAATCACAAAAACAGGGCTAGGAAAAAAATGCAGCACTGGCAAATTGTTGGACACTTAAATTGAGGAAATTGTGTGTGGACGAAATGATCGTATAGCGTAGAAGCAAAAGAAAATTGCTCACTTTGGCATATTTCTCTTCTGGACAGATTGTTTGGTACCATAAGGCACTCATCAGCAGAAATAATGTTTAAACTGTTTTTATTATGATACCGGTACACCTTATCTATACTACAATCACGAAAATGATCGGGGGGCGCTGCCATTTTCCAGACCGGTCTCCCGTCCCCATCGCGCCCGTTGGCTGCGGGGGATGCGGAACGGGGCCCGGCTATTTCCACTCTATTTCAATGCTCTATTTCCCATAATTCCCTTCCCCATTGGGCCGCGCCGGCCATCTTGCGTACCGTATGGGCCGGATAATTGACGTGCCACGTCGTATACATATGTACATGTAGGCCCTACGTTCGTTATGAGCATGCAGCGTATGGGCCGGATAATTTTCGTGCCACGTATACGTTCGTTATGAGCATGCAGCGCATGCAACTTGCCCCATATTTCTTCAGCACAGCGATGTATCTGTTCCTTGCTCCAGTTTTCTCTTTGAACGGTAAGTCTCATTTGTGATATGTATTGTTGTTTGTGAAAAGTGGTATTCTTTCGAACGCCGCTGGCAATGAGAAGCATTGTTGTTTGTGAAAAGTGTGAGTTTGTGAGTGTCCAATGATGGCGTAGTCTGGTGGTAGTACGGGGAGGGTTGTACGGGCCGGGGGGAGGCCTCGGACATCGAGAGTTTGGCCGTGGGTTTACTTAGCTGCATGACCTCCGTAAATACAGGCCTCACTTGGAACATGTACCCGAACAAAAATACAAAAATACAACATATAAGACATGTTTCGTTGCTTGGCATGTTTGGTTAGTACTTCAGTAGTGCATTCCGCATAAATGGGGTCTATTCCTTCCTCCATGGGTATTGCAACACCTGTCTAATTTATTTGTAGCTATTGTTAGCCGATGTATTTTTTTACAAGTTTTCTTCACCTTAGTCGTTATTCTTTTCTTTCTAACTCCTTTACACAGGACTCCCGATGACACCCACATCACATGACCAGCTCCAACCATGCTCCAAGCATGCTCCAGTGCATGCTTCAACCAGTTCTCAAAGCAAGAATCTCAACTCAAGACGAAGACGTGACACACCTATTCTTTCCAGTTCAACTGCAAGATTCCTGCTTTTTCTCTTTATCCATTCAAAAACCACTTTTCTTCTAGCCATAATTTTATTTTTAGAAGTCATGAAATAGTGAAAAAAAAATCATTCTTTTCTGCTGTTTTATGTCCATCCTTTTAAAAAATTATATCCTTGGCTTAGTTGTACCCAAGAATAATGATGGAATGATTACCCGATAATTACTGGCCAAGCAGACTGTGTCGATCCTGGCAAACTAATTTGATAACAAAACAATGTCTTTGATTACCAAATTACATAATCACTCTTAAAATTTCACAACAAAATATTCATGATCGCATACCCCTCCATTTCTCATGAGTTTTCACCAACTCTCATTAAATAAATGTTGTCCTGTAACTTACAATGCCACTGTCATTATTTATGATTACAGCTTTTAACACACAAAAAACTGCAATCGCACAATAACCTTTGGCCGTCTTGCTTGAAGGCCTTTCATGGAATGTCTGTGCCTATGGTATACAAGCCTGGACCGACGTCCCTTGCGAAAATTGCTCCGAAAACTGACTACAATTATATCCCCTGAGTTTTGTCAAAGTACTACCCTGTACAGTAGCGAATGCAAATACATTATTACTAATATAATTCGTGTATACCTGATTTCATTTTCACAGTTTTGTAATAAATACATTTAACATGTGGTGCTTGACATAATTATGAAGTGCTCCAATATGTCCTTTCTTTTAGTTTTACTCTCTTCTGCAAATAAACGTGTTACGATACTTTGCTGTACAACCCCATCACCATAATAAAAACACCAACTGCTATAATGACATTAACTTCTACTTAATACATAAGAAACACCCCCTTCACCATAACAAATATAAATTGTTGCCCACTTCCCCGGAAATATAAGTGACCATTCACAGGTGTAACATAAATAAGCATGGGCGGAGAAGCAAAAAAAAAAAAAAAAAGGAGGCGCGAAGTCATAGTGGTGTAAATTTAATGGGTTGGGGGGAGCAAAATGTCCCTGCCCCCCTCTAAAACTGATAAATCGAGAATGTGTTGAGAAAAACAGGCATTTTGTGGGCAAAACTATGTTTTGCCCCCCTCTAGAAAAAATCCTGGCGACGCACACACAATATCCAAACCCACCCCCACTGGCTGCCCCCTCCTCTCCTCTGTAGTGAGAACGATGGATACGACGTTGTATAGGCCAAGATCAAACCGCGTTTCATCTAAATTACCTAATTGTACAGTTGGTGTATACGTCCTTAATGGTTTGGCACCTTGAAAATTCAATGTTCAAATTGACTGGACAATATTCCAGCACAACATTATTTATGAGCTTTATATAATGAGACACCGCATGAGACAATCGGTCGGCAATGAATACTTAATTTCATTCAACTGTTGACAGCAAGACCTTCCTAATCGGCGCGCAATTTAAAACATTTAAACGGTATGAATCCCAGCACAAACATAAACCTCCACAATATCAGCGATTTCAATATCACCATCTCCCCTCTATGACAAAAACCATTTCTCCCCATCTTTGGAAATGTTTCTCCCCATCCCCGGAAATATTGGTGACATGGTCGACGGGTTTTACGGAAATTGGGCGTTCTGACTAGCACCCTTCACCCTAGCTAGCCCCTTCCCCTATATTGACAATATGTCCTGGACCCTCGCACAATCTCCGCAGGAAACGTTATGTACGCGCACGTTGAACGCAAATACAAATTAGGCGAGACTGATGGCGAGTCCAAATAGGCTTGCGCCTTGCGTGCAGCAGAGGGTATGATTCTTTATTTGACTTAACAGTTGTTTGGAGTTATTAGAGTTTAAATTATCGAAATTTCATTGCATACAGTAATTATTAAAAAACAGTCAACTCTACCCATCTAGCGGGTGCCGCGCGAAGCGCGGCATCCCGCTAGTAAATAATAATAGCTGGTTTTACGTCTTATGTTGTCCTTTAACCCTATAAACGACCTATAGCCTTTATAGGGCTCTTTGGGGGTCAAGGACCAAATACTACAGAATACTACATGTGTTATGCACACTTGTATGGAAAGAAATGCATACTACAGGTTACTACTCAGTAGTATTTTGTAGGTTTAGGTGAGGTTAGGGTTAATGTTTTGATGTTATTGTAAATCCAACTTCAATTCGACCTTGCGTTGCTAAAGGTGGATATTATAATAAACCATTATTGAATTGAATTGAATTGAATCACACAGTGATACAGCAATACCAAATGACTATATAGAGAGCCAACTCGCCATACACAGTGTAGCCTGCTCAAAATATTGTTTGGCTTTTGTACGGCTTTTCCAACATCTGTATTTGTGTTCGAGTCCTGCATAAATGAAGCCGAAACCCCTAAACCTGTTTCATTTCACTCTGCCTTAACAATGTAAACATGAGCGTAAGTGCCTCTTATGAATTTCTGTCATGCTTGAAACCATTCCTATCTAGATGCAGCCGTGTTCTCTGTACTGCTGTGTTGCATTTACTTTAGAGTTCACTTCAGAAACACCATTTCATCTCATTTCAACATTCTATGATCACACATGTCTTTGCCCAGGATGTGTCCAGAAGTATTTTAATGCTACTACTGGATTAACTACATGTATGTTGTTTTGGACATCTCATGACTAGATAAAGGTTAGCTTGCGAGCCACTCTGCCTGCACAGCCATTGGTCAACATTCTCAAGTTTCACAGCCTATACACTCACCAGTGTCGAGTCCATTGTGCTGTGTGGGCGAGTAGTGAAGCGGTCCATTCAGTAGCCTTTCAACCAGCGCTAAGTGACCTGCAGAAATTGAAAAGAAGACAGCGTTAAATTGAGTTTGGAAAAAACAAGGCAAGAACAGGGATTGTTTTTCTTTGTTAATAGTGAATGGAATTATACTGACATTGTTTCAGAGGCTCCATTTCCAAAGTAAATGCAAACATCCTAGTCCAGCTGGCGATGGCGATTATGTAATTAAAAAACAGTCAGCGCTGGCTGACATGTACATCTAGGAGAAGGTTTTAATGTAAAATACATCATTTCCAAACAAACAAAAAATCTTTGATTTCACCTTTTGTTCAAATGACCTGGGAACGGTTTTAAGGGAAATACAAATGAAGGAAAAATGCAGTTTTTATATTATGCCCTTTTGACCTTTTGATACCAAGAGAACTCAAATTTACAATGTACAATGTACGTAGCACCCATGCTGAAAATATCAGTCACTAAAGATGAAAAGCCATTAGGAGGGAAATTACTCTTTAAAATTCTAATTGATGTTATAAATATGCAACACAACAGCTATTTACTTTCACAATACAATAACAAACCAAGTTGTCTTTAAACCTTTTACATCAGTCCACACACACACACACACACACAAAATATCTCGTCTGCCTCTTTACACGAAGAGCTGGTTTTGAGTCTCAGTGAAGCCTCAATGACAATCCCTCAGGTTCAGGACAAGCCTCCTAGCTGTTGATTTTTCCAATTTGGCCTTAATTTCTGCACTCCAATCCCAAATTAACACCATTCCACCTGCAATCAAATTCCACTCCCGCAGCTGAAGTGCTTAATTCAGGTTTTTTTCCTCTTCCCATCACTATCGGTTAAATCAGGACATTGAACAGCCAGCATAATAGACTAGGGACAGAACCCCGGACCAGCACAAACAGACAATTAACCCAGATATGTAGCCGGTTTATCTCCAAGAATCATCACACACAATCCTCTCTCTTCTCTGTGTTCTTTCTTATTTCTTCTTTTGTTAAATCCAATTATTTTTGTTATGCCTGAAAACTCTACCGAAGATTGAAATGATTAGAAACACGCACTAGTGCATGGCCCAAAGTGGGGGAGAGGGTAAGGGGGAGGACGTTTATAGACGGTGATTCAGTTCATAGAGTAATTATGGCTAGAAATAGGTAAGGCTTTGTGGAAACTGTAATATTCATGGCAAAGTGCCTGACTGTCATGATATTCGACCGGGGACACAACGGCCAAATCTAGGTAATTAGGGGAGCCACTGGGACAGTTAGAGTGGACCCGATCTACAATGAGGAAGAGGTTCTCTTGGGCGTTCTCTAGCAACAGTTATTGCATGAATGAAAGCACTGCGCACTGAAGCTTTTGTGTGATGGTGAGGCAGTACATGTAGGTGACTGAGTGAAAACCAAAATAGTCTGAAGTGCAGATTGATTGACTGATGGGATATCTCTGTTAAAATATGACTACCTGATAATAATAGATTCCTACAACTGGATATATGCAAGGTGGAAGTACACATTAGTTCAACAAAATAAAATTGTGTAAACATGGGTCCTTCACGAACTCAGATTTGTGGAATTCTCACAAAACTATCTGTAAAGTACTTTAGTGCTCAAAGAACCTTTGTATATTTTTGGGTCACCAAATACATACAGGTGTTCTCGACTACAATTGCTGGCATGCTGTGTACATTAAACCTTTCTCAGTGAAGCTGAGTTCATTGGAGAAAATTTTAGCTTTACAAAATATATCCTTGACAAATATTTCCTTTCAAAACATTTGGTAAGATGGGATCAATCAAATTCTCTTAATAATCTATGTGGTACTGAATACGCCTTGACAGTGTTCTCATTGTGTAGTGATCCGACAGGACGTACATGTAATACTTTGCAGTGTCTGATATACATGTATGTAGTCTGAAGTTGACTAAAACCCTTTTCTGACAAGAAGACTTTTTTTCCCTTCAATATCCTTTTTCCCAATAGCTGTTATCGGATAGCTTTTTTTATTGGGCGTTACTTCATGTCATTTGTCATGGTGTGACTTTCATACTTGGGCCCCGTCTTATGTTACAAGTTGTGCCTTTGAAGAAAACCTACACTCACTGCAATGTACATGTACACACTCATCTACCCTAGGAATCAACTAAGTGATTTCATTGCAATACTAGTATCAGCAAAGTGAAATCCATCTTAATCCTTTTAATGGATTGACAATCTTGTAGAAGAGCCTGATAATCCTGGGCTGTTAATCAAGCATAGACCTTACAAAAGACTCCTAATGTTGATTCTGTTTATTATACCGGTATACATACACCGTACATGTATGTACTACTGTACATCCAACTGCAATATTAAACCGGTAACATATCAGGAAAATTGATGCTTTCCTGGTTGATTACCTGGAGTCTAGAAGACGTGCCCGAGACAAGTAATCACTAATGACATTGACAATTCCATTGTTGCCATGCTAAGGCGGTTTACTGTATTTCCATGGTTACTAAGAGCTCCACACTCAAATGTACAAGTACATGTACATGTACATGTTATATATATGCCGGCACCATCCACTACAGGCACTAGGTAACATTGGATGGAGACAGAATCTTACTTGTAAGTTTGGGCATTAGGTTTACAGCTCAGGAATGTATTGATCAATATCAAGGGAAATATGGGCACAGGAAAAACAACAATACACATCAGACGATTCATCTCACCAAGAACAATTCAATTTAGTGAATGCCCTTGCATATTTGCTAACCATCCTAGTCTTACCAAATACAACAAACTTCCCCTTTTTGTGATATATGCCTCTACTGTATCCAATTCTGTACAGGTTCTCCTTTAGATTCAATTCGTGGGAGTTTTTTGTACGGCTACTGTACATGTACATCAACTGCTGCCACAATCTTATTCATGCAAAATACAATCCATTCATGCACATTAAAATTGCTTTTGGGAGTGAAATTTGACAAAAGTACAGGGAGAACACCTTTAAATTTTAATGAATTTTAATTCTGTTATCATTTGTCTATCTTCATTTGACACATTTTTACATTTGTACATGTACATGTACGGTACGTGACATTCACGTATGTGTGTACATGTAGGTGTTCAAAATTTCTGAATCCCGGTAACTTGTATACTATGTATGTATGTATGTCCTGCAAGCAACTGCATCTATTTGAGAAGCAAACATTTAGTAACTGTAAATATGAAAAACCAGTGACATATCTGACAGACGCTGTTTGCTAAATAAACGCAAAATCCATTACCAATATCCGAATCTTCTGTTGACACTGTTAGTGTTAACCAGACATTAGTATCCCCTGATGTGGCATGAGGAAGAGATAATTTGCACAACAAATAAAAGGCACTCCAGCAACCAGACGTGATGCAGGAGGGACAGAAGCTGCGGCTCAATCTCACTAATTGCATCGTCTGGTATGGCTGGACTGTGGTCATACTGTACCTTAGCCTTCATGGATTAGTCAGCTATAATAAGATTTTCATTATTGTCTTAACGGCCGGCAGACCAATCAAATGCCATGTTTGAACTGATTGGACTGGATTAGGCCTTCTCTTTTCTACAGTCAGAGAAACAGATGAGCACTAGCTAAACTGCCTTCCTCATGTGAGACAAATTTGTTTCAGCTTTGTTTGGTCAAGGATCGTGGTGCGTCTGTAAAGTGTATTCACACACCATACAAAAGAGAGACATCTTGAAGCAAATCAGCAGGAATTAGTCCTTCATTAAAGGGAATGTACATGTACAACATTTGCTTTTGCTGCAATTTTCAGAAATAAATGGATTTGCAAAAAATAAATGTTATAGCAAGTATTGTTAAACTGACTTGTTTCACGTTTTGGGCTTGTAGATGCTGGAAAAACCAAGAAACCAATCATTTTCTTGTAGTCTGGTTCCCTGACCCCACTTAAGATGAAACGGAGCAATTTGTAGACTTTGGGGAATTGCAAGGTCAGAGAATCAGTCTGGCAGGCTTGTACCTCTTCACAGGTGTGTAATCACTTGCAAAGAAAATGCGGAATAACTAAATATGAAAAATTAGGGGGAGTTTGGAAAATAAGCCAGTTTTCTCCAACGCTGGTCGGCCGACCAGCGTTGGGAAAATACAATTTTTCTTGCAAATGTCAGCACATCAGGAGCCACAATTTTACAGGATGCTTTAGACTGTCATTCCCTAACAATCCAGTAAGGTATTTCGTGATAATTTGATCATTTCGTTTTTTGATGTTTGCAAATGTTGTATTTTCCCTTTAACGAGGTTGAAATATTTTAGTGACTGTATAAGTGTACAAAGTACTGAATATGTATACATACATGTACATGTACTTTTTATATTGATAGTGATGAAACAAAAACTTTGACATAGAAATGATCCTCATTTTGAATTATCTTTATTTACACTTTTTACCTTCGCAACTACACTGTACACTCATTTACAAATGCAGCATTCACCAAAATAACCCCAAAACAACCAGGTTTCACAAGTGATTGTAATAATAGAACAAATCCATAATTTCAAATCATCTTCAAAAGTCTCACAACATTGCAGCTACCGATTTCTTATCGCGTGCAGAACTGCTGAACCAGTGTGCGCAGGATATGATGATATGAAGCTCGGCGGCAAACATGTTAGTGTATATTACTTCCACCGTGTAGGCTTGACCACAATTAATTATTAGCACTTTCACTGCCTGGCATTAATGGTTTGTAATTTCATTGCTGCTGCTTTGCCTAGTGGGTTTTTTTCCGATTGGATGCCGGGGGGCAAATCAGTCGACATCCTAAACTTATTCACCATTATTAGCTTCTTTCATTTTAGTTTTGGAATGGCCGTTGGGGAAAGCATCAGACGTGAGGAAAACCACACCGACATGCAGTAATTTGCAATTGCTCAGCATTTGAGTCAAAAGTTGGGTCTTAGTTCATTTTCATTTTCCGCAAGCTAGTTCAGAAACCAAACAAGGATTAGTATCCTACCCAACTGAAAACGAATCTGTTTTCTTCAT